AGAGTCCAGCACAGTGCTGACCTGCACAGCTATTCTGGTTAACTCCTACCGTACATTCCTCTTACCCTCCTGGATGGAAGCTCTCCTACCATCCCCTTGGCCTTATTTACCCTGTTCCATAAGCATGGGCTGTATGAAAAACTTGAACTATGCCCATGAGCCTCTCGTGTAGATGGATAAAGTTTTTTTTTTTTTTTTTCAGGCTTTCATGACGTAACATAGAGTGAAGTTTATCACCTGACACCAAGGGTCTAAGTGGACATGGAAGTTAAAGAAAGCAGCGTTAGTTGCCCACACGAGGCCCTGGTCAGGCTGCCCCAGCTTTTCTTGTAAAGAATCCCTGGAGTTGCTAAGCTCAGCACAGTGGATAGGAGCACAGCTTTCATGGCCTTTACAGAAGCTCTGGCATCCAAGAGATAAAACTGGCACTGCAGAATAGTTCTTCTGAAAAGCTGATGCAATGTAGGATCTTTCTCTCCCCAGAACTATAAATATTAAATTCTGCATATGGTTTCAGGAGGCTCATAGACCTCTGAGACATTCACAGAACACCTCAGTCAGGCCTGGTATAATGAAGGCCTGTAATCCCAGCTACTTGAGAGGCTGAGGATGGTAAGGTCAAGGCCAGCCTGGGCTACCTAGTGAGTTCAAGGTAAACCTACATAGCTCAGTAAGACTCTGACTCAAAAAAGTTAAAAGAAAATTTAAAAGGACTGGGGATACAGCTCAGTGTATAGGTAGACTACTTACTTGCCTAGCATGCACACAGCTCTGGCCTCAATTCCTAGTACTGAAAGAAAAAAATAGGAAAAGAAAATACTCTGTATCTCAGGCTTGATTTTGATCTGGATTTAAATAGTTTATGATGGGGCTCTTAAGTATGATACTTGCAGACAGAATATCGTCAGTTGTGTTATAAGATGACACATGTTTATGAAAATCATTGCACTTACAAAAGTACACGGTAAAAACCATAGGTTTGTGAAGAAAATGAGGGCAAGGTGCAACACTGAAAACTGTATCAGACACACTGCAAAAGAAGATAGGAGCCTAATTTAAAAAACTGTAGATTTAGACATGTTAAATGGTTAAGAAACATTAAGTGCTAACCCCCACCCCCCCCAATACTGTACTTTACTTAGAAGAAGATAGGACGTGTACTCCTTGGGGGCTGGTGTTGGAAGGGTGCAGCTTGTGGCTTACTGTGGCTGAGGCGGGGTCTCAGATTAAAGCTTTCCATAGTACATGTGGACGGGTGTGGCTGGAGCCTGTGGTGTGTACACTGTGCTTTCTTCTAGGTTTAACTCTGCTAGTGTTGTTTCCTGCATTCACTCTGTTTCTTGCAGAAAAATCATAAAAGATAATACAAAACTCATGCTGTAATCAAAGTGTTCTCTGATATGTCAATCCCATTGGGATAACTTTTCATTTTCAAAACAAGTATTATGGTAGTCAATTGTGACTGCATCCACATTATAAAAATGACTGATTTAAAGAGTAACAGCCACTGAGATCCCCAACGACATGAAAGGAGCAATAGATTACACTTCTAAGTAGAGAATAATCTCCTCTGTGAGTAAAATAAATCTGGCCTCCTCAGTCAGCATAGTGATAAACTCAGATGAAAGGCAAGTTCAACTTTGTAGCTCTGCAAACACAGTGTTTGTCCTGACTGAAAGCTTCTCAGGACTAAGATCACCAGACTCACATTTTTTATCTCTGAAGTCCTGTACCACATGGCAGCCCCTCATCTTTGCTCTCTTTACCACACCTCCCTGCCCTCTGTACACTCTGAAAGCCCATCACAATTACAGCCTCAGCAGTTTCAGTATCATCCCTTCTTTTTTTCCCAACTTTTCCCCAAGAGTAATAATTCTAGGGTTGAGAATGTAGTTCAGTTGGTAGAATGCTTGCCCAGCATGCACAAAGTCCTGGATTCCACCTCCAGCATTGTATAAACCAAGTATAGTGGCACACACATGTTAATCCTAGTACCCAGGTTGGAAGCAGATCAGAAGTTCAAGGTTATTAGGGCTACATAGCAAGTTTGAGGAAAGCCTGGGATACATGAGAGCCTCTCTGAAAAACAACAAAATCCACACGGAGGTGTTTTACTTCTGTGAGAAATTCTTACATACTTAGTGACTTAAACCAACCCAAAGTCATTATCTTGCAGTTCTAAAGGTTGGGCACAAAGTCAAGTTAGAGTAGGACTGCATTCCTTCTGGAGACTCTGAGCTCAATCTGTGCCTTGGCTTTCCCAGCCTCTGAAGCCACTTGTCTCCCATGGCACTGGCCTTCTGTCATGCCAACCTCTGTTTCTGTCATCACATCTACTGTGACTTTGACCCTTGTGCTTTCCTCATCCCATGAACCCCATGGTGCTGCTGGGCTTGTGTATTCCAAGACCTTCTGTCCATCTTCATTTAAACCCTGCAGTGGAAACACATTCACCAATATCTGGTGATTAGGACACTAGGCAGTCATCATTCAGTCTCCACACCACACCAGAATGGTAGTCAAGATTCTCTGCAGTTGCTGCACCACTAAGACAAAGATCCTGACCTCCAAAAAGGTCCTGGGCTGGGATGGTGGGGCAGAGTACTGGACACCCTATGTTCATTGATGGTTTGTATTGAGAGATGGAAGGTCTTGGGGAGCCACTGAGGAATATTAGGGTTAGCAGCGATGATTCCTTCTGGGCAACATGACTTTCAAGGTTTTTTTTTTTTTTTTTAACCACCACTAAAGCACATGTGTGTGGCTTCACATCGACCTGTTATAGCTCTTCTTTCTGGGGAGCTGTAAGTTTTCTTCTCCACCCTCATCCAGGATCAGCCAAACTCCTAGGAGTTCATTGTGCACTGTACTTAGTCTTTTACTTGAACTTTTAAGCTTCCTTAAACTTTTAAAGTCCTGCCTTCCCTTCACCATAGCATGTCCAGGTCATATGCATTGTTAGTCAGTTTGAACTCAGGCACTCTGCTTTAGAAAGTGAACCCAGAGCCACCATGGATAGTATATTCAGGAGTTAGGCATCCATTTAGGTAGAGGAGAAACACATGTAAAGAAACCATGTGGGAAATAGGAGGTGCCAAATGGTGAGCCTTAGTCCATATCAGTTATTAAGTTTACACAATACCTTCCTCTACAGAATTTTTGACAAATTTTACATGCATGGGTTCTTTTACCTGCACGTATGTAAGTGTACCCATGTCATGCAATGCCTGTGGAGGCCAGAAAAAGGCCTCAGATCCCCTGAAACTGGAGTTAAGGACAGTTGTTAGTTGCCATGTGGGTGCTGGGCACAGAATACTGGTCCTCTGCAAGAGCAGCCAGTACTCTTAACTGCTGAGGCATCTCTCCAGTCCAAGATTTTAATGACTATAGGAAGGACCTCTTGGTCACACTGTGAGAAAGTTCATCTCCTATATAAGACCATAGCTTGAATAGACATTCTGTGATAAAAAGTTCATAGTCAACCTTCAGAGCAAATAAGGTCCATACTCTGACATGGCTATATAACATTCTAGAACACAGGATGGCTATAATTGTGTGATGAAATAGAAGAAGTGAATCAAAACCTGTGCTCGAGAGGTTTATTTGTAACAGACTATGGCTTAAACATGCTTTAAGCTAGAGTATCATATTCAACTTTCTCCAATGGGTGAGAAGCCACTGGGACAAGAGCTGCAGAAGAAAGGTTGCTAAAACTATTTCTGGTCTTTGGAGATATTTGTCAACCTCTACTGGGTCAAAAATGTGTTTAGAAATGTGTTGCTCGAGCCATGTGTGGTGGTGCATGCCTTTAATCCCAGCAGAGGCAGAAGCAGGTGGATTTCTGTAAGTGTGAGGCCAGCCTGGTCTACAGAGAAAGTTCCAAGTCTGTTGGGGCTACATGGAGACCCTGCCTCAGAAAAAAAAAAAAAAAAAAAAAAAAAAAAAAAAAAAAGTTTCCATTAAAGGAAAAAAGTGTTGCTTAGACTCAGTGGAAATAATGTCCAACAGGAATAAGTAGCATGGCACTAGGGGTAAAGAACATTACAGGTACTTTTGATTTTGGTAACTGAAAATATTTTTTAAAGGGACAAGTATGTGTATTGGCACTTTTTATTTGTTTAATTGATGCATTAAATATAATAGCTAGACATTATAGAATCTGTGTGTGCTGGTTTCAATGAAGGTGGAGTAAAATCTTGATTGGAGCGAATGTTTTAAAGTTCATTAAAATCATTTATGATACTTACAAACCAGATTATTATATAAAATGTCAGAAAACAGTATTAATGTTATTGAAAGATGCCTTGTTGAAGAACTGGAAGTAAACCTTGTCTTAACATCCTTGAAACCCAATAAGGATCTGAAATATTCTTGCCAATTAGAAAACTACCCCTTCATTTAAAATTTCCTCAAAGTTAACCTCTTCTACCTTTGCAATGGATTATAGGATGGCTTCAGTCAAAAAGCATAGTCATTGCCAAAAGAAAAATTCCTGCAATAAAGGACATACTGCCACTTTACTCATTGTGGAAGTGCCTTATGACTGTCAGACAGATCAGGTCAGATGCCAAGGATGCAGAGAAAGAGATCAAAGTGTTTTTGTTTACTTCTTTGAAAGCTGACAGTACCTCTTATGTATCACACACACACACACACACACACACACACACACACATACATACACACACTTCTTGGTGCATGCTGAAAATTGGAATTCACCCATTTCTCTCTTTTTCCTGTCTAAGATGCAGATGGGGCACATTTCATGGACTCCGTCCATCCCTGCCCCCACGCACAGACGTACACCTAGCCAGTGGAAAAGAAAAACGACTTACTCACACTCATCCACTGTACAAAGATTTCCAGGCTATGATGGGAGGGCTTTGTCTCTCCCTGAAGGATGAATAAATAGGTAGCTGTAGAGACAATCTGTCTATAGCCAGGCTGAAGTGAAAGAGAGACCAAGACCCTGCTTCTCTGGTAGTTGGAGACCCAGTCCTGGTGGCATGGAGAGGACCCTTATTTGTCTGATAGTCATCTTTTTGGGGACAACAGCGCATAAATCAAACCCCCAAAGGCCAGATCGTCTCATGATTAGACTTTATCACCTTATAGATAATGTTGAACAGCTGAAAAATTATGTGAATGACTTGGTAAGGCCATACTTGTCACAATGAAATTTAACTAATATTTTTCAACTAATACAAAAGGAGCCTTTTGACTTATAAAAATGACTAAGAACTAATTTTCTTTCCTAGGATCCTGAACTTCTGCCTGCTCCACAAGATGTAAAGGTAAGATGTATTGAATTTATTTCTGAAAATATATTTGATACAAATTTTAAAGTCCAATGAGGCATTGTTAGGATAGTTATTTAGGCATATGGTTATTTTCAGTGACTTTGTGGGTTAATGATAAAATATATATTTCTATTTGGATCATAGATTCACCAACAAACCAACTAATAGGATGCCATATTATACTCCTTATAAAATATATATTTACTGCTAAGAACCTCTAAGAATATTAAAAGTCATATTATTAAGACATAACAACAAAAGTAGAACTCTGTGCTGGGATAAGTTTCTGAACAATAAATAGCCAATCATGAAAGCTCTGGGGCCTTTGTAATCTTATTTAAGACACACACACACACACACACACACACACACACACACTGTAAGAGATAACAGAGATAACATTTGCCTCTTTAAGAACTTTAAAACTTTAAAAAGAAAGAAACAATTTGATTGCAAGGAAGGCACAGAGATGGGAGTGTGGAAGTCAGAGCTCTCTCTGTGTAGAATTCCCAGGTACCTTGGCCTCAGGGAGCTTTCTTGTCTTTGGCCTTGGTGAGGTCTCTCAAAAGGGTCATTTTCAGCCTCATTCCAACGCTGAGCCACTCATATCCTGGTCCCAGGGAGAAAAGGTCTTGCATACAGCTGAGAAGGGCGCCTGCTAATCTTTTCCCCAGTAACTTCTTCAATCTGGTCTTCTGGCTGGTACTATGACAGTATAAATGCAACTGGGGAAATGTTTGCACTGTTACAGACCTTTAATTTCATAGACTAGAAAAACTATGCAAGTGTTACCAGTAATTAGGACACTGCAAAGACATATTGCAAAGACAACAATTATGGTAAATGACAATATGTAAAAGGTTAGAAAGTGAATGAGTCAGAAGTCCTGCCTTGCTCTAAAATTCACTCTCTAGCACTGAACATCACCACTCTCATATTTACTGGGTTCTTTTCTAATAAGCAACATCTGAAATGAAAGTAGCACATTCAACTTACAGAAGGGACTTTTCCAAATAACAGAATATTTCTTAACATGTGTCTAATTATCAAAATGTGTCTTCGGCGTCTTGCACATCATGTTTGATTAACTCTTTTGGAACTCACTATGTAGACCACACTGGCCTTGAACTCACAGATCCGCTTGCCTCTGCCTCCTGAGTGCTGGGACTAAAGGCATGTGCCACCATGCCCAGCATTTGATTAACTCTTGCCTTAGCATCCTCTCCAGGGTTTCTGAGCTGCAGTTAACATCCTGCAAAGTAAAAAGTAAGAAAAGGGGTTTGTCTTCTAACTGGGGTAGGCCCAGTGAGGACATCTTACATATGCTTTGTCAATGAAAGATTTCTTTTTAAGTTTGGGCTTTATTTACCTTCATTATCGTTGCTAACACATATGACCTATATAAGTTGATGGAATTCCTGAGGTGAATTTGTATATGCACACGTTGTCCATCCACCTCTAGCCTCTCTTTCTGCACCTTTACCATTCTCTAGTAATCTATCTTCTACTGATCAATATTTTTAATCTTATGTCATCATGAGAATTTTGTCTCAATGAATCTGTATCTTTCTGATAATCTGCTCAGGCAGTACCAGTTTAACTAACATTTTCAAGCTATGCTGGCAGAAAAACTCAAGGCAGAGGAAGGCAGGAAGCTATCTATTAAGTTTTCAGACCTAACAACAAAGCAGGGTCTATAACAGATTGCAAAATCGTTGAAAAGCTTAATGAACATAAGCCATTTAAATACTGTATTTATTGTTACTAAGATCTGTTATTGATATCTGTCTCTCTCATTCTTTGCCTCTCCTTTTTTAAATTCTCATAATCATACACCCCCACTTCCAAGTAAACACGACATTATGTCAGAAAACTTTTGGTTGGCACAGTTGGTGATAGGGTGAAACCAGGGATGCTAGTAAATGGTTTAGAATGTATAGGCTTGATCTGACAGCTAAGTTATTCAGTCTAATATATCAGTAATGGTGTTATTAGTGGTGTTATTAGGAAACCCTGATGTAAACCTGGTTTGTGGGTGGGACAAAAGTTACCTAACCCAGCTGGTGAGATGTTTTGTGCTGATGAACCATGGCTTTCTTTGCAAAAGATAAAAATGTAGTCAGTTTGAAATGGGCTTTAAGGAGGTGTTCTTATCTTTTAGAAATATTCAGTTTCAAAACAGCAACATGCTTTTTCTGAAAATCAGTACTGGCTCTTCTCTTGCTAATTCTCTCCTTGACTTCATTACTGCACCTTCCAGCATGCAGAAGTCATGTAGGTCTAGAAAATTCCTCATTTTCTCCTGTGTTACAGGATAATGGAAATAAAGTCTTGCCTTCAGGCTTGGTGCCACTGAGGCTCAGCTGAGGAAAGCATACATTAAAGTTGGGTGGGGCTGTCCTCTAACACCTGTCTCTGAGGCTCCTAAATCTCTCTCAGTCTCTCCATCTACTCTGCTTTCCTCTGCAGTTAACAGGGCTGATCTCCCATTCCTTTCTGCCTTTGCTCTATATAGGTGCAGAAATCCAATTCAGGGATACTTGTCCAGGACCACATTTTGCCAGAGGCAGGTTGCTGTTTTTCAGGACAAGATCAAACCAGATGCCTATCAGGGGTGGACAAGGAGGGGTTGGGATGATGGTGTAGCTCAGGTGGGCAGGCATCCTCAGATATCATCGCCCTTTCCTAATCAGGGTGTGAAAGCTTTGATGTCTGGGACTGACCAGTCCTGCAGGATAGCCTTAGGAAGCTGGTTACTTAGAGCCCTATACTTCTTTGGAACCTAATTTTCTTTCAACATGCAATGAAAATGTTAACTCAGCAAAATGGGCCTCTGTGAGAAATGCTGGTTTCTCAGATCATTACGGATGAAGCAGTTAGCATTTTCAGTTTCAGCTGGAAAATTTACCTCTTTAAATATGAATATTATTTTTTCCAGTAAGTTAAGCCGGTTGTGGTCAAAAAGAAGAGAAAAGAAAAAAACTTCAACAAACATGAACATGTGGTTTTCAAGGAAAAAAAGTGCTATAATTAGCGTTTATAAATAGTTTCTATTAAATAAGCATTTGGCAGACATGGGAAGGCCCACACCTTGCCTGGTGACAGGCAGGCTGCCTGATAGCAGGAGCCAGATAAGCCTGCTCAGCTTGTGGCTACCTATGCAAAGCAGGCTGATGACTTGTGTTATTAATCAACATTTGAGCTGGGCAAGCAGATAGGTTGGAAAATGCAAAGCAGATTAGCTGCTATTTCAGCTGATTGTCCCTGTGAAGGTTCGGGCAACACTGCCATGCGTAAGACAACCAGGGCTGGATTTTGGTTGTAAGCTAGTGGTGTTCACGCACATTGCTGAATGCTACAACTTGAGGGGGGAGGATACTGCTACAACATAAGCTTAAAAAAAAAAAAGTAACTTGGATAAAAGTATCCCGGATACAAGATCTTAGATCAGAAGTTAAACAGCTTGAAATTTTGTTCTTCAACAGCTGAGGCTGTAACTCAGTGGTTCAAGTGCCTGCCTATCATGTGTTGCAAGCATCCTCTTCCAATGCATTCCATTTCCTTTGCAGTCTGTGCTCAGATTGTAGCTAAGTCACTGGCCAGTAACTATTTGGCAAAACCAAAGACAAGGCTTTGATCCTTATTCTGTCTATCTACCTCTCCAGTCTCTGTGACACTGCTCTGACCTAAGGAAAGGAAGGCTCTTCCCTCTGACTGGTTAAGCAAATCTCACCTTCTGTTTCCATGGCTTTTGATTCAATGGGGAATCCTACCCTTTCCAGCCAAGGCTGTGAACAGGACTTTACAAAAAGCATGTATGGCCTGGGCAGGTGTGAAGATTCTTAGAATATGTTGCTGAGGGTGGAGGGGTGGGGACTTTTACTCATTCACCTCCATTGACTCCTCAAATAGCTCCTGAGTGCATGTTGGTAACCAAACATTGTATCTGGTACTATATGAAATAAAAGGATGTTCCAGTCACCCATGGGGACTTCTGTGTATATTACTAACAGAAGAGGCAAACAAGTGAAAAAGATTCTTAGCCAGACTAGTTTGCCCAAAGCTGTCACTGGATACAATGTAGAAGCCTCAGAATTCAGCAACTTTAAACCAATCTGTCATAAATACAAAGGCTGGCCTGGTAACTCAGTGGTAGAATACTTACCTAGTGTATGCGTGATCTTGGATTCATTCCCAACAACACACACACACACACACACACACACACACACACACACACTCAACCACTCAAAGCTCATGCTCACCATTTGAACCTCAGAGAGGTTCTCAAGCAGTTAGGGCTGAAGAACTGTGAAATTCTTCATTCCCCTGTTCCTGTCTGGACCACAGGAAACCATCCCCTCTTTCCTGAGACAGGAGAGATATACAAACAGCAAGCACCTTTCTTCTGCAGAGCTTAAGTGGAAATGAGACCAGACCCAATGTAGCTACTGGAACAAATGTCAAAGACATGACAGTACAAGTAGAAAATAAGGGCTAGACGGTCACATTCAACTTTTGGAACAACTTCCATTAATGTATATATTAATTACCTCTCTTCTAGGGACACTGTGAGCAGTCAGCTTTTTCCTGTTTTCAGAAGACCAAACTTAAGCCAACAAATGCAGGAAACAATAAAACAATAATCAACGACTTAATTAAACAGCTGAAGAGAAAGCTACCTGCAACAAAGGCAGGGAGAAGACAGAAACACAGAGTTGTAAGATTGTTACTTGTCATCTGTTTTATTTGTATTTATTAACCATAGAGTAGTATATTATCTGTCTTATCTGTCTTATTTGTGTTTATTAACTATAATGTATTATGCTACACACACACACACACACACACACACACACACACACACAAGCCAGAGCTCCTGGTGCCTGCTTGAACAGTTACAAACTTTATGATACATAACACGTTTTGAGAAGTGGTGTCACCTCCACTAAATCTTCAGACTTAACAGTGCCTAGAGACCCAACTAGAACTGGTTATTATACTCTAGCAGCTACTAATAGATGCTTTCAGGGTAAAGAAGCCTTAGAATCTGTGACCTAATAAATTTTCCTCTTTAATTATATAGTCACATTAACTTGTGTTGTTATTAATGGGCTAGATCTAGTTTTCTGACAA